GTTCCTGACCAGGTTCCTAAGTAATCCAGGAGGGACACATGACGTCGGATGTACGTACTGATTGGAGTGTGCTGGTTTCCGATATACTTTATTTGCTGGTTAGCATTCTGTTCAGTCAGCTTCAGAACATTTTGATTGTATGAGATGAACCGATTGGAAAATTGATATTGTTCACTTGTTGGACATAAATTCCGTTAAGCAGTCATTTGTATTTATTTCAGTCCGGATCATGCTATGGTTTGTGCAGTGAAACGCGTTGGCGTTAAACGGTTTAGGGTCTGTTGCATTTGGTGTCCTGAATCATGAATTATTGAAATACCTTTGATCAAAATGCAAAGTATTTTTTGGCTATGTACCGTTGCAACCCCCTCCCCCAAAGTTTGCATAAACATATTCATATCAGGGAGAGTATAAAAATTACTTTCCCAGAAACCAAAAGGAGTAACAGTAGTCATTTAGCCCATTAATGAAATAAGACTAACAATGCTGCTTTCTGTTGTTGCGTAAAACCAACATTAATAAAACAACGCGAACATAACAAATTAATATTGACAATAGCATTTGTTACACAAGCTGATAAGTCTTACTTGACTTGATACTCAAGAGACATCTGGATTTACTAAGAAAAGTCAGATTTCACGAGCTCTCGCCCTTGCAGGAGAAAACAGCAAATTCATGCAACTTCGCCAGATTTACATGACTTAACCTTATGCCGCCTTGACGATAAACATGAACTGCTAGTGAGAATCGCCAGATGTCGCAACCTGCAAAACATTGGGCATCCATTAAGGAAAAGTTGCCTCCTGAAGTCCATTCAAGGACAGTGTTCAAGGAAGGAAACTGTGAGAACACTCAATATGCCCTAGATCGATAACTAATAGGTTTAAAAAATGGATGGATGGCAGAATGTCCCTGGTTTGAGATCTTCGGTGTAATGCCACGTTTCAACCCCTTAGCGACAGAGCGGCAGTTGCTGTTTACTACATTGTACGAGGGACAGTTCATCTCTGAACGCAGATCTGCTTTTATCCGGTTCACCAGTGTTGCAGTTAGTGATGGATAACTCCATAATTCAGATCCAGTATGAGAAATTCGTGGGCGGAACTGGTAGCTTTCGCTCAACCAATTCGGCTAAGCCATTTAATAATCTGTAAGTCTACTAAAGTCACACATGCCCAAAAGATACTACAATTATTGGTTACATGGCAGTGTAGTTTAGCCGCCTTAATTGCGTCGATGACAACGATCTGTGTTTGCCCAGATTATCACCTTGAGACGTCTGCAGAAACAGAATATATCTAGTTTGTGATGATATCCGCTGCATTCACAGCTTTTCAGAACCTTTGCAATAAGGCTCCTGCGGCTACTGTATCGTGGAAAAATATCCCTTTCCGAAAGCGTATATATCTGCGTGTATCCAAAAGAACAGAATCTTTACAACAGATCTGGAGAAACAGAGTAAATACTGATAAACAGATTTTCGAAGTAATTTGTTTCTAGCCGTATCAGACGCGAATTTCCTTGTTGTTGTGTGGTTTTGTAGAGATCATCCGGCTCATCTTAAGCCGGCTGGATAAGCAGAGCGTCTGGCTTGTGATGTCCACTGTATTCGCATCTTTAAAACCCATTTGCTATAAGGCATTGGCCCCTTGCATCGCAGAAGAAGATATTAATCTCTGAGAGCAGATCTGCCACTACTTTGTGTGTCCATCTTGCATGCTGATACCCTGGTCGACGACTGCCGTGTTTGAGCTCCAACATGAAATCAAGGACTGCAGCAAATGGCTTATGCAATGACACAAAACTGCAGTTTTGACCAAACAGCGAAATGATTTCTACTGCTACTCTCGCCCTCATGTAAGTTGGGTCATTAAGAATTTCATAACATTAGTTATGGCAGCTTTATAGCTTAACTGCAACGATAGTTGCAAACATATGCTTCTTACGCAGAAGCAGCAGGAACCGTGTGGTAAAACGAGTAAAACACAAGAACCGAATTCACCCAGCAGTTCCGAAAGACCGTGCAGCACCGAGTGAAACAGGGACGCCTCAGCGATGGTGCACTTGAAGTAGTTGAAGATGTACGGCGGGAAAACGTCCATCGCCGTGATGATGCCCTCGCTGATCAGCTGGCAGCCGAAGCCGCCGAACGCAACGGCTACTCGTGGGATGGCCATTTGGTTGCACACCTTCACTCTACAAAATACACTTCACTGTGAGTACACACCTAGTGACTTTGATCATAACAGTCGCACCATTTGCACTAGCCGAAAGCAGCAACGACGGCACTTACCGGCCGTCGCTAATCTTATCACACATAGTAAATAAATGGATTAGAAGATAAAGCACATGTTTTAGGTCATCGAAGAAACCGCGACGTGCAAAACGTTAGTACCTGCCGACAATCGTGAAAGCTCAAATCCGCCATCCCGTCAATACGCCATTCTCGCCAACTACGCATTGCTGGTCCCAAGCTCGAATGAGGGAGGAGAAGGCATTGGGACTGTGGAGAAACCTTCCGTAAACTCAGGCAGCTGCATCTTATGATACTGGCGTTATTATGAGTGACAACATCGTGTATATTCAGTTGCAGCATGTGCCGACCGCTGGATTTCTTGACCATGAAAAGTATTTGGACGACAGGAGCATGTCAGAACAGGCGGATGGCAAAATGCTATGAAAAGACGCCCGGAAAAACCGCGAATTTTCAAGTAATTATTTCAAATTGCAGAGCCGTCCTTCCGAAGTTCGTAACCATAAGGCCCTTCACGCCATGCCGTCTTTCAACAATAATCGCATCATTCTTCGATTGCTACCGCTTTCATCATTCCAGTAGACTTTGGTCTGCCTGACAGGGATCCACTTTCGCAGTGCTTGGCTTGTTGCTTTGTATCTGTTCATTTGCAACTTATGGTGTGCCATAGGGTTCACTTAAGTAAACCTTACTGAATGACTGATCACCTCAGCTGCTTTGTTTGTTTTTTAAAGGGGAACAAATTGCATGCCTTTTAAAAATAAGCTCCTCACAATATAGAAATTATTTGACAGCAGGTAAACAGGTCGTAGTCGCGCCTTGAGGTTAGGACCATTGGGCTTCGAGAGGGAATGTTTGGTCCGTGCGTTGGTAGTTGTACTGAAAAACAGATTAAAATCGTTTACCATATACAAAATGCAAAAGGGCTGCAAAACGAGTTTGATCGAAACCGACGTTTTCGCCAGCATCTCATGGGCCTTCTTCAGGGTAGAGCTGTTGATAAAGCCTGGTTGTCGTTCGGGTCGTTTACAGAATGTGGTACGACTGCACCACATGCAAGGGATCAATGCAATACGCAGTGAAACCTGGTCCTAGCGAAGTCAATCACTGTTTTACATACGCGAGGGTACGAACGCTCACGATGTTCATGCGGTAGCATCGTCAGTGATGAGCGCGAGGTAGCTGTAGCCAATAAAATGAGGCGAGATGCATCTGGCATTCTAGGTGCTCAAATACCATTGAGCCGGGTCCTGCTTAGATGGCAAATTGGAGCAAGGGGGTGGCACAATAGGCCGTGAAATCGAGTATTGGTGGAGCCATTAATTATAGGACTAGGAGACTGACACTCTGACCACAAAGCTGTAAGGTAGAATTGTGGATCAGCGTCTGCCTGAAACGTCATGCTGTCTATGCAGGAGAAAGAGGATAAAGGATTGTTATGGCTGAAAAAGCTCATGCGTTCGTTCAGTTTAACGGCTGATGACGATTTAATTGGTTTAGCTTCAATCCGTTGAAAATTCCTATATCTTCCTCAGCGAATTACCCTCCAGGCTGTCGATAAAGTTTATTTCATGTCGCTTTGCAACGTTCATCATGCCGTCATCGTCTAGTGGTTAGGACATTGCGTTGTGGCCGCAATAACCCAGGTTCGAATCCTGGTGACGGCAGGTATTTTGCGCCATGGCCGATGACAATTTTAAAAAAGCGTATGGTCAAATTGTAACAATCCCGTCTATCATCTAAAGACAACTTTATTACTATAATTCAATGCTTTCTCCATTAACTTTTTTAATATCATTTAACTGGTGTATAACCCGATGGAGTATTTAAATTAGGTAAACACTTCAAGGTTTATCCTACGAAATAGCCTGAGTGGCATTCGAGGGTCTTATACTAGAAGAGAGACAAAGTTCAAGATATTAGGCGAAATATTTAACCGACTCTGCCTATGCGGATGGCACTGTCGTCTTACCGGTCACCGCGTCAGTCATTAGCTAAAGCGATATGCTTGGTTATCGCAAAATGGGCATGTAGCTGAACCCCAAGGAGGAACATTCAGCGAGGAACTGAGGCAGTGCAGTGGAAACGACTATGGAAGCAAGTGTCAGAGAAATAACACCATCAAAGAAGTTTCAAATATTAAATATCTTGGCGTCGTCACCTGGAACAATGGCAGCTATGATAAGAATTTAAATAGGAGAACTGTGGTGACTTTGTTGAACTTTCAAGAGGCCATCGAAAGTTTAAACTGAAAAAGGTCATAGGCCTCGATTTGGTGCTGAACTGATGACTCGCACGCATGCTTCACCTTTTACTGGCCTTATATCTCACTTGACTCACCTTTCCGAAAACTCTAGCTTGCGTACTTAGCAGGACCATCATTTTTTACTGATTCGCCGGATCGTCCTAACTTGCTTAGATGTAAAAAACACTTTTGAACACAATCAATGACCTTCGATGACTGCTGATCGTTTCAGGTCTCGGATACAGCACCTTCAGACGGTATCTCCAACACTCCCGATTATATGACAGCGGTTGAGCTTCGGCAGAAGATAACCCGAGTTTGGAGCAAGGTCCTTTCATACACTTGCTCCAAGTTAGTCTCAGTCGTCCCCAGGATCTTCGGTCGGTCGATTGGGTAAGTAGTAGCTGTTTCGCCTTCCTTACTGAGACCACTCTCAAGTCGTATCCACACCATCGCACTTGTAACTGCACAGTCTGGAGAAGCAGCGGCCTTACACCAAGGCTTATGAAAACAATCCCAATTGTAAATGACCGACAACGGATGCTCATAGATTGCAAAAATGAGTGTGGTACTTTTAAATGCGACAAAGGTATTGCGTTGGAAAGTCAGTGGCCATACATTGAGACGAATGGAACTTTCAAAAACAGCTATATCAAGCAAAAGACATTCGTTTATTTTACGTCAGTTCATTAAGATTTAAAGTTTTACTCAACCTTGAGTCTATGGATTTGTCCATGAACAGCTGAAGGCTACTAGAGTTGAACCGTATTCAACGGCCGATGTTTCAATCGTACGTAACAGACGCCGCGCGACTTCTACCGAGTACCAGAAGCAAATGGATATGTCACAGCGCCGATCGCGACGGCGCTTTAAAGTGTCGACATACGTGAGAGTTAAGGAAAGTAGACCTTCAATAAATTTAGGCCGGTGACAGCTGTCGCGACAAGCCTCTACACTGACATGAAACGGTTCATATTACTTGGCATGGACATGACAGCAAATTGATAGACCTCCTAAACTGCACGTAGCAGCGTTCTCAGAAACGCCGTGTTGTAATATGTAAGGACCTGTTTTGTTGGCAGTATTCACTGCATATGAACACACTGTCAGTTAAGGTTTGCTGCCAACCGCTAGGCACTTAAATTTTCTATACCTAATTAGAATGTGCAGTACAAAAATTTGTATAGCAAGTAAAAAGTATGTTTATTAGGACGCTGGCATGAACGAAGGTTTGCGGCATCTGCGAATATTTATTCTCTAAAAAACGCTGTGCCATCTACTCCATGGAAAGAGAAAAGCATTCACGAAATTTTATTAAATGGCGAATTGATATAACAGAAGTTTCTACAGTTAAATGGAGTAATCAGTTAATTATTAGACATAGACAAACTGGACTATTCCGGGTTTGCGAAAATACGATGCGAAATCGATGCCCATTAGTTTCGTTATGATTTACAGTTCTACTTAATTATTTATCTCTGTACCCAAGAGAACGTTGGAAATAAGAGATTAGAGGAGAATCGTACGGGTCGTTTTGAAATGAGGAAGGAATTGTCTTCACTTCTGAGTTGAAGCATCGGCCTCATCCTGGGTTAACCGAATAATAACGATTTGCTTCAGCATAGAGTCAGAGCATACAGAAAGGAGCTGCCATGCATGGCATATAACTAAGGACAGTCCGAAAAGAGTGCTGACCACACGTGGTATCAGCGCATTTTATGTCAAAGAGTCCCAGTGTTTGAATAATTTCATCTGCGAGCTTCGACGCCTCACTTTGATGAAGAACTGGCCGTGTACATTGCGTGCCATGAGATATTTAATTCACTTAATTTATTTAAATATATCCGCCTTTTGTAGACGATCTCGACGCAACCAGCCTTCGAGCGGTTCGCTGCTACGTGCGATGAGGCATTGATGAAAATCATGCTAACTGAAACTGATGCTTTTAGAGACTCGAAGAAAGAAATTCACTATGCATTGCAGGTAAGTCAAGTACTACTAGAACAGATAGAGAAGTTTAAGCAACTGGGTGAGGTATGGTAGACAACACGTTGAAACCGACACACAGGCGTGCACTATAATACGACAACTGAACTGCTTTCAGCGACGAAACAGATGAGCATCAGGTCGCTGT